AATGAAGTAACCATTATCATTATTATTATTATTTTATATTGTAGAATATTTTTATTTATTTATTGAACTGTAACATCTATTTTACTCATCACGCTACACACATAAGTCCAAATTTAACAAGATATATATCGTTGGTCACCCTTTTATGAGACCTACCCAAAAACCTAATTTTCAAATAAAAAGTGTCAACTTTACAAACAATTCATATTTTTGGGCTAGAAAATAGATTAAAATAAGTCAATTTCTAGGTTGTTATAGGGTCTTTCGTTCGGCCTGTCGTAGGGTTCGGCAAAGCAGAATGGCCTATGGCGGTATTGGGATAGTAGTAGGCTGGTACCGCGCTATCGTCTAGCGTGATAACCCCTATTTTTGCACCTATTTGATGTTACAGCAACAACCAACATCCAATCTCAGAAAATTCACTGTAAAAATGTTCATAACTCAATTCCTAACTATATCCAATCCAAAACAAACAATCACAAGTATGTTTTAACGTATATCAACCGTAATTATTGTACGAACGTAAGATTCAAATCTATAGTTATAATCTAGGGTTAGATGTCCACGTACTCACCTCGAATATGATAAAAGAAACTACGAATGTTGAACCTACGGACGACGTTGACCCAACACGAATTTCATGCCTTGCTCCAACAACCATGATATATATATATATATATATATATATATATACACATATATATATATATATATATATATATATATATATATATAGGGACCATCGATCACCCTTAAGGATTTGCTACTGTGCTAGTCACGGTATCGGGTACTGACAGCTCAACCTGACGAGGTACATGAGTTGTGTATCTTGCGAAGCCCCTCCTGTCCATCCACCGCTCAGTAGTGGGGCTCCGCACTGCCGTAGTGAACTATAGGGGGTGCCCTATAGAAATCTACCTCGGCTTGGGGCTACAGAGAGATGTGGTTAAATATAAAGTGTCCAGCTTCCTATCACCAATTGGTTTTAGGAAGCATTTGGCACCTCTTTAATTTCAGAACTCTGTAGTTAAGCGTGCTGTAATGGGAGTAGTCTCAGGATGGGTGACCCATTGGGAAGTTCCAAAAAAACGATCCTACAAGTGGTATCGGAGCGAGGAAGCAGGCTCGAATCCCCCGAGTGTCGCTGGGGGGAGATTATTGGTCTTATGGGGGACCATCGATCCCATGGATCATTGGGGGAGATTTCAATACAGTATCTTCTATTACTGAACACAAAGGGGCAGTTTGTCCAGACCTTGGAAGTATGGCAGATTTTAATAGCACCATCTCTGATTGTGAGCTCATTTCCCCCACCTTTTTGGGCAGCCAATTCACCTGGTTTGGAAAAAGGGGTAAAGGAAGAGTTTGTAGAAGACTTGACAGAATCCTGATAAATGAAGATTGTATGAATCTATTCCAGGTCATTGAGGTGAAACACCTTGGAAGAGGGAACTCTGATCACAGGCCTTTGCTTCTCAAACTCCACCTTAACCAAATCTCAGGCCCAAAACCTTTTAAATTTCTCAATATTTGGAGTTCCCATAAATCATACAATGATCTGATAATTTCCTCTTGGGATAAAAACTATCAGGGTGGGGGTATGAGAGGCCTTGCTATGAAACTCTCTAACCTCAAAAAAACACTCATCAAATGGAATAAGGAAACTTTTGGAAATATTTTTGAGGAAGTGTCTAAGGCACAAGATAGGTCAGAAAAGGCAGAAGCCATCCTTGAAATGGATGAATCTGAAAAAAACCTCATGGAGTTCAAGCTAGCTACAGCCCTTCTGCAGCAAGCTCTGAAAAAAGAGGAATGCTTTTGGGCCCAAAAGGCTAACATCAAATGGATCTCCCAAGGGGATGCTTCTACTTCTTTTTTCCACTCCTATGTAAGGGGAGGAAGGCACAGACTACATATCTCCTCTTTAAAGGATGGGAGAGGAAACATCCATACCACTTTTGATGAGATAGCAAGGATAACAGTGGAGCACTACACAGAGGTTTTCTCCTCAATACATGAAGGGGATATGGGAGAAATCCTAAATCTTATTCCTTCTTGTGTATCTGATCAAGACAACACTTTGCTCAGTAGCATCCCAGCTAAGGAAGAAATTAAAAGAACCATTTGGTCTTTAAATGCCAATAGCACAGCAGGATCTGATGGGTTTAATGGCTTCTTTTTCAGGAACTCTTGGGACACTATCAAAACTGATGTGTGCATGGAAGCTCAAGAATTCTTCATAGGTGTCCCTATGCCTAAAGCCTTTGGCAGCACACTCTTAACCCTCATCCCTAAAAATGAAGCAGCCATCACCCTGGACCAGTTCAGACCCATCTCCCTATCAACTTTTTTCAGTAAGATTATTTCCAGGATTCTGAGTGACAGACTTAAATTGATCCTTCCCAAGATTATCTCCCAGGAACAGGGTGCTTTTCAGGTTGGGAAGAACATTACTGATCATGTCCTCATGACAAAAGAGATGGTTCACTTACTCTCTTCAAATGCAAGAGGAGGGAACTGCATTATCAAGTTGGACCTCTCTAAAGCTTTTGATAAACTCTCATGGAATTACTTGGAGGGAATCCTTTCCAAATTTGGTTTCTCTCAGCATACCATACACCTGCTCATGGGAAATCTGAAGGCAACACATTTCTCAGTGCTTATAAATGGTCAACCAAAGGGTTTTTTCCCCATGAAATGTGGAGTAAAGCAAGGTGATCCCCTCTCCCCCCTACTTTTCATTATAGCCTTGGAAGGGCTATCTAGATCCATCAATTATCATCATTCACTCAGGATGCTCTCACACTTCTCTGCTGGAAGAACA